AGACCGGGTCCCCCGCCCCCCACCCAACCCCCCCCCCCAGTTTATATACTGAGCATGACATCATATGGTATGGAATAGCCCTTTGGTCAGTTTGGATCGACTATTCTGGCCGAGCCCCCTCCCAGTTTGTTGTGCACCTGGCAGAGCATGGGAAGCTGAAAAGTCCTTGACTAGCATAAGCACTACTTAGCAACAACTAAAACATCAGTGTGTTATCAACATTCTTCTCCTACTAAATCCAAAACACAGCACTATGCCTGCTACTAGGAAGAAAATTAACTCTATCCCAGCCGAAACCAGGACACTTTCTCCCCCATCCCCCTCCCCCCCAGTTATTCCAGCTTGCCTTTTCATCCATGCCCAAACAGATGCAGCCTGATTTTAAACAAACTCCAGAAGAACTGGATACAGTAGGGTTTACTCAGAAGCAAGAATCTGATTTTGGAATGGAGCTGGGGATGAGTGTGGTACTGACATGGTCATGCCTCTGTTCAGGTGGAACTTCCTGTTGGTCAGATAAAACTCACAGAACTGACAGTTTATAGAATCAGATGAGATTAAGGTGTGTCATTATTTTAAAACATTCTTATAGTGACAGACACTACTGATAATATATCATCCTTACAGCAAACGTTTAATTTTTGAGTCTCTCAGATACTGCTTTTTCTGTCTCAAAATCATGGCAATGTCTTTTCTTTTGATTGTTGTTAAAAAGTCCCTAGTGTACAAGTGAATCTGCTGAGAAAAAGTTGTCTCTACTAAATGGAGCTAAATATTCAAAGGAAACTATTGAAATGTGAAAATACTATGTTCTATGACTTGTACTGTTTATAGGCATCTAAGTATAGGTGTTGCTTTCATTTCTGAGTTTGCTTAGAAGTGTGATTGAAAGGTGTTTTTTGGTTTTTGGTTTTTTTTTTTTAGATATCTATCTTAGGAAAGAGTAGAGGCTCTGACAGATTAGCTTTGTCAGATTTTGTGGCAGTTTAAGATAACTCCTGCCCCAGTTGCAGAATTGGCAGAACAGCATATGCAGTCCCTGCTGGCCCACAATTCAGCATCCTAGATTCAAAGAGTTGATGAATGTGACTGAATTGAACTGTGAACAGCACAACATGTTTTCTGCCAAGTCCACTTCTGAGGAATAAACTGCCAAGATTTACCAGAACTAGTTATTTAAACAAAAAAGAGGTTTATTTAGAAGAATCTCTTGTGCTAGTTCTTCAGCCTGAACAGGAAATCTGAAAGCCTGAACATATTTGTGCCATTAGATGTACACAATTATTAATGATTCTGTCCGATCTTGTCTTTGAGTCAGAAGGCTAGAAATTATAATCTCCCATTTGGAAGTTGATTTTCCAGCCATAGGATTTCAATAATTCACGGTGAAGTTTGGTATGGCCAGTATCTTGCTGCTACTTCAACCTATACTATGATCGGTCAGTCCTGCCTGCCAGGAAGTGCAGCCAGGGTCTTTACACAGCTGTGGTTAGTATAAAATATGATACTGTCAGGTCAGTGGGAATTATTTGTACTTTTTATCAGAATCGGTCATGGATGCTTAATATTTCCTTTAAAAATATCTTATATGCCATGTATAATGTTTTGGCTGTCTTATTTGTATCATTTGTTTGCAAAGTCCTTGCCCTACAATACTTAACTGTAAAGTGCTTTGAGATACCTCAATTATGGAATTTAAATTGTTATTAGAAGGAGATTCCTAGCACTTCTGCTTTTCTTCCAGAGTTATTGATGGCTTGGAGACCCTGGATGAGCTGGAGAAGCTGCCTGTGAATGAGAAAACCTACCGACCTCTTAATGATGTTCGCATTAAAGATATTACAATTCATGCCAACCCTTTTGCTCTGTAGCCACAGAGTGCCTTGACGCATTCTTTAGAGACTGGATTATGGGGTTTAAAGTGTTATTAAAAAGGGTTCCTTGAGCTGGATCATACCTTTGCTCATCGAATACAGGATTTTCAGGAGTTGTGACATTGTTTGGGAGTTGTTACAGGGGAGTCTTGTGCTTTAGAAGCCAGTTTTTCCAGATTATCTTCCAGGATTTTTATTTTTAAACATTGCTTTTTATACTTGTAAAATAAGAAAAGACTTTTAAAAATATTTTTTTGGAAATCTTTGCTTTCTGCCTTATCTTTCATAGTGATACTATGTTAAAATAATGTCCTTTGATACAGTTTCATAGTACCAGTTTTCTGAAATGTCCCCATATAAATTCTAACCTTCCTTACTTTACTGGTTTTTAGAAAATTGAGTAAGATATGCAGTTTTTTCCCCTAGGTGAGAGCAGCGTCATAGATAGATGAACCCCTTCTCTCCTAGAGGATTAGAGACTGTTTAGAGGAGTGCTTGCTCTTGTACTGCTGTGTTGGAATGATAACCTCTTCAGTCTCCCCAAGAGGTAGATCGGAAACAATCGCTTCTGCCTCTGGCACAACGCTTTTGGTATGAAAAAGTAAGTGTTTGTGTCTTTACATAGCTGTTGATCCAAACTAGGTAACTGTGGATTTACTGTAACTTGTTTTTCATCACTTTTTTTGCACAAAGAGTAGGGGGTAAACACAACAGAGTAGCGATAAAAAGACTGTGGTCAGACTTTTAACCAAGAATATCCTGATACACCCAAAATAATAAAAGATACTGTGGCCAAGATGCTGAACAAATGAGAGAGCTGTTGTTTTGTCTTATTTGAGACCAAATGTTGTTGGACTCAAATAAGAAAGTCTGCAAGAGGGTACAGATACCTGAATATTGACTGGTCAAGAGGAGAAATAAAATACATACATATAGATGCATATATATATATATATTGCTGATCCTATGCTCAAGTCACTTAGTATAGTAAGCATAAAATAAACAGGGAAAAGAGCGATTTGTGCACATCAAAAAAGCAGTTCTCCACCTTGGGCATACTGGGAGAAGCAGAATGTTCTACTCTTCCTTGAAACCTCCTTGTAGAGTTAAAAAACGCATTTTGGCATCAGTTTGTTTTCATGAAGCAGGAAAAAATCAACTCGTTTCCATAGAGGTTAATTTTCTGACTCTCTAGGTGTGAGGGTATATTTCTAGTTCCAACTGTGCATGAGAGACCTGGACAGGAGAGAGTACCCACAGTTCCTGCACCCAACTCCTACCATTCTGGACTTCTTCCCCCAATCCTCCTTGGATTCAGTCAACATTACTTAGCAAAGTCCATGCTCATATATATGCCTTGGGAGGTCCAGGTCCAGCTGACTTGCAGTGTGCTTCAGACCAGTATTTCCTGCTTTGAGACTTTGCCTCTTAAAATAAAGAGGAGAAATTATTTGCAAGAGAAAGGCAAAAGTATGCCAGGTAAAGATAACCGGGGTGTTAATGAGCAGAATTAATCAGTACCCTCTCTCTGGGACAAAGTTTCTATATTCTGTATGGGGTGTTGCTTATAGCTTGTGGCCCTTGCTCCAGACTTAATACATTTTACCCTGATACTTCAGTCGGTCAGGTAAAAGATTTAATTATTTTAGCTCTGTGCTCTTTATGTCTCTTCCATATAAGCTGTGGTAATAGCAAGAGACAAAAGCATACAACTGCATGTTTGACTGCCACGCTGACGCTACTGCCATGCAGAAGGAAGGACATACTCGAAACTTCCCTACAGTGCCAAGGAACCAATAATTTAAAATGGTGACATCTGGCACTGAACGGGAAACAATTTCAGGTCTGTTTTTTTCCTCCACAAAAAGAAGGCTGTTATATAGAATGTGTGAAATACAGGGACACCAAGCAATTTGCTCTCTGGAGGATACACTAAATTTAGATCCTTTCTTTTTTATCTAAAGCTGTGTATTGAAAGGAGACTGCTTTTACGGACAGGATTACATTCTAACTTTTAAAAACTCTATTATGTCTGTTTCCCTGTTTGTGGCTCTGAACCTCTCACAGGTTCTCCCTGAGAACCTGGAATACAACAGGAAAAATAATGGTGGGGTTGGTCCCATCCACTTGTTGAAGAGAAGGCAAGACAGGGAGTAGGAAGTAGCCCAGCTGTCTAAGTGTGTGATTTTGTGTGCGGTTGCCGAGTACAGTATATGTGCAATTTAGTTCCTGCACAGTCAGCTGTTGTGTCACCAGCTGTTTGGTCTTTTGTGACATATATAATCCTTTAAATAGCAAAAATGTTGCAGACAGTACTGTTCTTACTGTTCTTGACTTGCACTTTATAAACTCCTGTGTTTACTTCCATCAGTCTGGTCCTTCATCGCAAACACTACAGCCAGAAGGTGAGTTCTGACAAAATAAATCTACCCATGCAAAGAAAAATACATACATTAATACAACAGTCATGCATTATGACAGTCATAATGGAGGGTCTCGTCATGTATATTCTAGGTTGTCTCTGACCTTTGCTGGCATTTTGGTGTTAGAGGTATGTCATGCTGGGAACAGTACTTAGTCTAAGCTGGAGAGCAATGGACAAAAAGAAAATAATGGTGCATTATCTATGGACAGTGGCAAACTTGCACGTGTAATGTGCGTATTGTATGTTGATCACAGGGTCAGTTAGGGAAATAAAAAAAACCCAAAATACAAAGAGTGAGGAGGGTCATTTATCAGGTTTGGAAGTGTTTCAGAAAGTTTAGTCCTTTTCAGAATAATAATTAAAAAAAAAAAAACCATTAGGTGTTAGGGAACCAATGTGTATAGGCTGTAGTGCTTCAGGACTGTTTTATCCTTAGATGTTCTTTTTCCACATAAATCAGATTGCACATGAGATGTTTGACTACTTATTAGGGGTTTCGGAGCACCAAATTTCAGGCGTAATGCTTGGTTAGCTTTGCTGAGGTCATGACTGATAGATGGCTGACAGGCTTGAAAGCTCCTTCTGAGAGAGGTGGTGGCAGAAGGGCTGCAGCAAGGCACGGGGTGGCTGTGACTTAAACCGCCATGTGTGCCATAATGGTGAGCAGCAGAGGAAGCAAGGGTTAGTTTTGTGGGAGGGTTTGGGGTTTTTTTATTATTCTGTGGATATAGAAGACTCATCTGTACACTCACTTGAAGAGTTGCATTTAGTTTGTTTGTTTTACAGTGGATATTTATGTTCCGTCCACACTCAAAAACATGATTAAAAGCTAGTAAAAGATACCACGAGACATCAAAAAAAAAAAAAAGGCATTCAGCTATTCGGAAATGGTTTTAATGCCAAGGATTTACAAAGACATCTTTAATTTGTTAGTCATATGAGGTCCTTTAAAGTTCTGTTGATTTAAAGCTGACTGGGTACATGCTTTGAGAGCCTCTAACAGTTTGTTTAGGGAAGTACAAATAACAGGTTTTTATCGCCAAGGGCAAAAAATGGTTTAGCAATTCAGAGCCTCACAAAAAGAAAAAAAAAAAAAAAAAAAAAAGGCAATCTTCTGGCAGTCATTCTTAAACGAGGGTTAGAAATTTTTTTCCTTCCCCCCCCCCCCCAGTATAATGTTCCTTGTCTTCCCAAGTTTTTGGCAGGAAAATGGTTGAAGGTTTTGCATAGTTGGTCTACTTA